AGATCTATCCTTGCTTTTCCCAGACCCTCTCCACCGTCCTCCTTGCCCAGTCCCTTTACTGCCACAACGATTCCCTCCTCTCTCATTTCATTCACCTTATAACCTATCCCCTCGCTCTTCTCCAACCACAGCCAACTGATTATTCAACTCATTCCCTCCTCTTCATGCCCATAGACCTTTTTGCCTACCCCATTCCCTCCTATGACTGCTTATAATGAATAAACCTCCTTGTGCTAAGCCTTTCCTCATCAGTAACAAAAAGATAGACTTCTCTAAGAGAGTATCTCTCCTATAACAAATCCTACGATTTCCTCTTCAGCCAGGTCATCACTTGGATATCTTAGACAATCCTCTGTCTCTCACTGAAGTCAACAAGAGACGTAACGTTAATAAGCAACGCTATAGAACTATATAAGTTTACATGTATCACCTCAATAAATTTGGCCCACTTTTTTAAGACATAAAAGACAGCCAACCTGCTTTTTTCTGGTGTTGGAGATGTAGGCCAACACTTTTTTTTTACCAATAATATGGTTTTCCTCCAGTACTATCTCTTTGTACTCACATATGTATCCAAAAGAAAGTCAATTTTTCTCATACCGTAAGTTAACCCACTTCAATTCCTCAGCCAATCTGTCATGTAAGCCACAAACCAGATAATAACTTAAGGGAGTTTAATCACTAACCCAGGAAATGAATTACAATCAAAGAGAATACTAATTGAGCCAAAATGACAAATTGGAGAAATTCTCTAACAGTTATATTTTGATTTTAATCCCCTGGTTATTTGTTCACAATTCCTGGTTTGGTGAAAAAACTAATACTATTTTTCTTCTTAAACTGCATTTTGTAATTATATTTTTTTGTAATGATTTTTCTGACCTAGTAGCTGCTAAAATGTAACTGGAATTAAAAAAAGAAACTGAAAATAAGAAAATATAAATGAAAAAGAAAAAAAACAATATTTATTTATCCATTTTGCAAGTATTTATGTTTAGGTTTTGTAAGCCTTTATTTTTATATCAGAGAGGATAGCACAATTATGCTTGCCTCCCTTTTTATCTATAATATGTGTAATAATTAATCACTCGACAATGATGCAAAGGGACTTCATGTTTGATTAGAAACAGAGGTTTTATGCGTTGCTTTAAAAGATTGGTAAGAATGAGTATCTGTTGTTTTCTTATATTATGGAAAATATACCATTCTTTAAGCAGGGTACTGGATAAGATGTTTAACTTAGAGTACAGATTATCCAAGTTATTAATACTATTCACAGCAATCATCAAATGAGTGTCTTCAGCTTTTATATGAAAGGGTGATCTTGAGAGAATATATGTTCATCATTATATATTTGAGTAATTGTACCTAAAAATATGGTATGTTCTGTTTCTTTTTAAATGAACCAATACTGAAGTGCATACACAGTATACAACAGTACAGTGTTTAGTTTGAACAGTAAGTATGCTAATTGCACATACCATAACTCTTTTTAAATGACCCTAAAAGTTTTTGATGTGACAATTAATGTTGAGAACGAAATCACTGCTTAACTTTCTCCCTGGCATAGTCCTGAATTTGCTTTCTTTGGTCGCTTCCTACGTTTGATTAACTTACTATTAATATGACAATCACCTGCTCTCATTTTAATGATGAGCCTGGTGTAGATAACATAATCATAACATATATGGTTAACATGTAACTTCCTTAATAAATGAAATGGAAATATGAAGTTGTCAATTACTTTTGTTCTTTTAAATCCAGCTCCTTTAATTATTTGAAATTGGAATGTTGTCACTGCCTTGAATGAAGAAGAAAGCAAGAATTGCTTTAAGAGTGCGTGTATGAAAAAGAAAGTAAATAACATTTAGTTAAAGGAACACTTCGGGAAGAAGAACAACTTCATCAAAATAAAGTTGTTATGGTGCCTGGAAGTTACTGGTGCTTTCTTACCTGAAGGAGTTAAACCATTCACATACTGTTTAACTTCAAAGTTGACACTCCAAGATATTTCCTCACTGTCCACATTCAGTTTATGTGCTTCAGATAGGGGGATCTTGGATTACTGCTGTTGAGGAGTGCTGCTGATTGGCTTAAAGTGGTCATCTGATGCTCTAAGAAAGTCAATCGGTAGCTCCCCATTAAAAAAAGAACAACTTTTTTTTTAATTGGGAGTGTAATAGCCTGCTGGTAACCCGGGTGAGTACCCCCGTTACGTCTGTGCTTCCTACTCTATTTGGTATTAGGAGCGGTCAGGTGCCCATCTTGAAGTAATCTAATCAGCATTTTAAGGTCAAATGTAGCAAGTGATATAGCCTTTACCCAACACCATGAGTCGAGACTACATGTAAGGATTAAACAGAACTGAATTTGATACAGCTGGTATTTATACAAGCAGAGAATCATTAGCATACAATAGTGTAATTAACAATACATACAGTTCCCTATTAAGTCTTCCCCTAACTCCTTGCTTTTCTTGTTGGATACAGGACATGGAGCTATTAACTTACTTAGAGTGAATTCATTTTGAATTAATTCTAACGAAACATGTTTGACATATGGGAACAGTAGGTGAAGAGGGCCCTGCCCAAATAAACTCACAATCTTATAGGCAGAGGGACATTAAAAAGGGAAGTGATGGAATTGGGTGATCTGCAAGTATCTGGGAATGGGAGGCATGGTCAAGAGGAGGGAGAGATGATAGGCTTCTCTAAACATGTGTGTTTTTTAGGATTTTTAAAGAACTGCAGAGACCGGGAAAGTCAAATGTGCAGTGGGAGGGCATTCCAAAAGGAGGGAAGATGCCTGGAGAAGTTCTGCAGGCAAAAATCTGTGTGCCAGAAGGGGATTGTAATAGGTCCTTGGCGTTGTGAAGAGGCCAGGCTGGAAGATATCTGCTAATGAGGGATGAAATGCAAACAAGTAGATGGTTATGGAGAGCTTTGTAGGTAGGCACAATAACTTTGAAAAGAATCCTAAATGAAACAGGAAGCCAATGCTGTGACTTTGCCCGATGTAGATGAGTCTGGAAGAGGTGTTCATTGTGTACTGTAAAGTGGCAATCTGGGCACTGTACAAGAGCATAAGCAGAGAATTATAATAATCAAGATGGAAAACAATGAGAACATGGAGATTTATCTTGTCTCACTCTGGGCACACTCGGTTGTGTCCAGAGTGAGAAAAGGGCAAACGTGAGATATTACTGTTTTACCATTTTAAGGTGAACAAAAAAAGTTTTAGTGATTGATTTTATATGAGGGGTAAAGGGAAGATCAGAATGAGCACACCAAGGCAACGTGCCTCCAGGCTATAATAGTTCTGTTCGCCTTCATGGAAACAGGCACAGATGTACTCCTAGAGGGAGGAAAGACAAGAAGTTCAGTCTTGTAAAGTTTGGGTTTTAGTAATCATGAAGTCATCCAGTCAGAGGATAAGCTCCGGGAAGAAATATCAAGTGAGGAGAGGTAGATCTGGGTATCATCAACGTATAGGTGACATTAAAAGCCATAGGATGACATTAGGTCACCGAGAGAGGATGTATACAACTGAAAATAGAAGATACAGAGCCTTGAGGAACTCAGTCTGAGAAATGTACTGAAGGAAAGCAGGAGCCAGAGGAGGAGACACTGAATGAGAGGTCAGAGAGGTAGGAAGAGAACTAGAAAAGAGCCATGTCACCAAAGTCAATGTTGCGAATGGTGAGGAGGAGAAGTGTTAACAGTGTTAAAAGTGGCAGAAGGATCAAGAAGAATAACTAGTGAATAATGGCCTTTAGATTTAGCTATCATTAGTCACTTTGTCAGGGCAGTCTCTGTGGAATGTTGGGAGCAGAAGCCAAACTGAAGCAGGTCAAGTAAAAATTTTTAGTTCACATAGTGTGTAACAAGTATTTCAAGGCGCTTAAAAGCAAATGGAAGAGGAGAAATAGGACAGCAGTTAGGAAAAGTTCATGGCTCGGTACAGTGAACGTACTTAAAATGAACAGGACACCTATTATTATTATTATTATTTATATAGCGCCAAAAAATTCCATAGGATCTTATATGTAATGCAAACATTACCAATTCATGTTCCTAAAAGATTGTTTTGTTATATAAGGGACTAATTAGGAAATTTCTCTGGAAAGGGAAAAACCATGGCTGATGTATTCTTATTTAATTAACCTGGAAAATAGAAGTTGCCTAGGGTTATGCTCTATAGAGAAATACTATAATTCAGTACACCTGTCCCAAGTAATAACTTGGAATAAATCAGATAAAGCTTGGATAGATTTGGAACAAAATGCAAGGATATGTAATATTCAACCAGTTCTAAAATATAAAAATCATCCTACTGTCCTACATGTACTTGTAAAATTATAAATAAATGTACAAGAGTGAAGATATAAAATTGCATGATTTTGCTATTACATGACGAAAAGTCATGATTTTATTAAAGACATGGAGGCGAATATTGCATATCCCTTTTTTTACTGTCCACCAATAGCAGCAAAGGATACAAACAGAATGAAAAAATAATGAACATACAGTAACATAGGTCCCTCTCTGAACAAGTCCCAGTATAATAGGCAGCACTTCCCTTCTATCTCCCCCTTTCTGAAGATGCGACACCGTAAAATAAAGTCCGTAAACAGGAACACCAATAGAGTCCCGTGAGAAGAAAACGCAGAACTTTCAGATCAAAAATATAGAATCATAGATTCAATAACAGGGAAGCACATCGGGACGACTGCAGAACAAACTCCATCTGCAGGAGAAGTCCTCACATGCTGAAAACATGACATTCCACCAGATCAGATCAGGCTGCGAAAACATAAGGAACAGGAGCCCAAGGGTTAAATCGGTACTTGAGATTAACATCAGGGCCAGACAATGCAAAGCCCCACATATATCATCAGTCTTAGAAACCAGGTAGACCCGAACCCAGCTAGTTACTCAACCAAATCCCCCTACAACACAGGCCCCACTTACCGTACCAACAAGTCCATACATTTCCCCCATATTTCAAAACAAACTGGGTGGGCGACAAGAGAACATAAAGTGAGCAGTACAATATGGGTGGAACAATACTCGCATCCGTGTCTTTAATAAAATCATGATTTTTCGTCATGTAATAGCAAAATCATACAAATTTATAACAAGACACGGTGGCTCATATTGCAAGTTTAAAGCTGATCAACTACCACAGCGAACATATGAGGAACCGGTCAAAAGTAAAATTCCCAAAAAATAGATTCCCTCGACCAGTCAGTCATACTCATGAGATACTCCAAACGCGCAGCAGAAACCATAACCGAAGAGGCTGAAGCCCCCCTGTCCAAATGAGCGCCAAAGAGCGCAGTATCAATACTGGCTTGAATCAGTAACTATTTCACCCAGCGCTACAACGTGGTGCTAGTGAAGGGGGCAAAAGGAGGATGGAAGCATAAAAATAGTTGGGGAAAGGATGCGGAACAGTGCAGTCTGGTGCAGTCTTCATATTCACGTAGGCAAGCCACCGGACACAACGCCGGTGTAGGTGGGAAACTTGGATAGGACACAGAGTTAATAGATCTTTTGGTGCGTTTGCTGATATTGAAAGTCACTCCCTCCGGGGTGTACAATCTGGCATCAAAGTACAGGGCTCGGACGTCTGAGACCCTCTTGCAGGAGATGAGGCAAAACAGACAAACCAACTTTGCCGATAACTGTCGTAAGGAGAGTGCGGAGTTAGCGGGCCAGGATGTGAGGAACGATAACACAGCTGAAACACCCCAGCATCTAGTAGTTTCAGAAACTCCCTGGACCTCCCAGGGTCCCCTGAAATCCGCCACACCAGGAGCGGGAGGTGGCCCTCTAACAGGAGAGGGTGACAACATCCTTTCGGAAACTGCAGAAGTTCCTTGAAGGATGTCAATAGTCTGGGGTAGTCCACTGCCATCCCGAGAAGTTAAGGGAACCAGGACTCCCAGAAGGGGGTCACTATGACCAGTCCAGCCCGATGTCTGCGGGATTGAAGGAGAGTGCGCGGGTTCATGGAGAACGGGGGGAAAGCAGACAGGAGGTCCCCACTCCAGTCTTGCAGGAAGGCGTCCACTGCCTCCGCTGTCGGGTCCGGCCTCTAGTTGTAGAATCGAGGGAGTTGGGTGTTGAGCCGGGATGCGAAGAGGTCGATAGCAAAAGGACCCCAAAGAGACGATATATCAGAGAACACGTCCATGTCCAATTTCCAGTCGCTGGTGTCCGAGAGATATTGTGAACCCCAGTTCTGATCCAGACAAAATTCCCAAAAGTATTTCGCCAATCTGGCCAGAACCGCAGACTGTGTACCGCCCATGCGGTTGACATATTTCACTGCTGAGACGTTGTCCATGCGGAGGCGAATGCATGCTTGTGCCCTGTCCCCAAAGCCGGTGCAAGGATTTTTGCCGCCCTAGGCAAAAGTAAAGTTTGCCGCCCCCCCTCCCCCGTGACATCACAATGCCCCACCCATATGACCTGCCATGTTAACTAACGCTAGTGCTGCAGTGCCGCTCTGTTTACATTAAAAGGCCTGCAGGGACAGGCTATAGACACCAGGACCACTACATTAAGCTGCAGTGGTTCTGGGGACTATAGTGTTTCTTTAATGTGAGGTAAATTAGAGATTAGTGCCACGAATAATATACTAGATTACCTACTTACAAGCAGATGAGGATGATGATGGGCTCTAGCTTTCTCCACTGGTCTGGTGTATAACAGGATCTCTGG